ATCCCCTTCGTGTCAACAGTGGAACCATTTCAAAGACGGCAATGCCCGACTGGTAATCATTATAAATTGATAGCTCGATTAGGCCGATTTGAGAAGATTTCCCAGAGTCGGCGCCACTTAAGCTCACCGTTGAGCTCTTCTTGTTAAGCTTAATAGTCCTTTAATCATATCATCGTAGGCTATGTTATCTGCTCCCTTTCTTTTCCTGCTGCCCAAGAATCGACAGGAAAGATTCTAATGTAAAAGTACGAGTTTGATCGTGAAGCATGCAAAGCTGCCATCGTGTTGAGCTTTTCCTTTATGACCAATGAAGAACTGAAATGCTTTCAAGAAGGGGGACATTTTCCCAATGGATTGGCTATCTTAATTGCTGCAATCATTTTGGCATGAAGTTTTTTACTTGGCACGGTTCTTCAGTAAAAGTTTCTCAGAGTTACGGTAAGAATGCAAAAATCAGTTTTAATTGGACCCTCATTCAACGGCTGCGATGTCTAGGAACAGTAACAAAAAGGCTTCTTCAAGCAGTTTTTTCTAAGAATCTCTTGGTTTACCTTTTTTGATTGTGACGATCCAAGCATCATTATGACAAGTACAGCCAATAGAATGAGTACTACCGAACCGATTCCGAGCAAGAAATACAGCGTCACTCGTATTGTCCTAAAAGTAACTATTTCAACTCCCAGAAGCCTACTAAAAGACTCATAGTTCGAGCGTATCTTAAAATGATGAAGTTGAAAGTGTTTGCCACGAAATTCTGAGACTGCCGGTAGGGTTGCAGCCCTGAGGGGTGGATGGAACAAATGAAGTGATTCGGATTGGATCCACGACGCAGCTTAGTCTAGAGGATATGCTCTTTATTATAGGGAGGCATCACTCCTCCTCCTAGATGCTCATTTACATATTTACGGAAGTTCTATATTAAATTTTTGCCCGTTGACTCTAAAAAGGCTAGGAGAAGATCCTTGTGGAAACCATCCGAGCTGCTTCGGAGAGCAAAGTTTACAATATAATACTGACATAACTGGATTGCTATCAGAAAGACGTCCAGCAACCTACAAAGTAATCACAGGTGGCTCCTCTACTGAAAAGGTTGTCTTTCCCAGCGGACCCTCAAGAAGAAGGTTAGTAGGGAAACAATTTGCGTGCCATTAACTACTATAATTCCAGGCAAATTAGGTCGCCCATCCTTCTCGTTCTAAGTTGGTGTCAAACTTTTCTGGGAGGATGAAAACACCGATTTGAACATTGGCTGGCTAACGCAACTCATTGTATGAGCCTCATACGCAATCAAAACGACACAACGATTTCGGATGGATGTCGGATCGAGGCGCATACCACAATTGGATTGAATAATGTCAAAAATACTACTTCCATTCATTACTACTATTATAACTACAACTATTCCTGCTTATTAAACAGATTGAGGCTGTTCTGAACAGATTGACCCATTTTTTAACCAAGTCCATGATTTTCGAGCTCTCGGGTGTGGACTCCAAAGATCAGATCTTTCTCTTTCATTTAGTTTGAGGACTGAAAAGCTACCTAGATATTATAGCCAATCCATAAATTATTATGAATATGGAATCAGTTCAGGGCTCCAATCCCTGCTCAGACATACTTGGCGAATTTTATCGAACGTATACGCCGTTCTTCATGAATTCGGCGGATTCTTTGCTTGATCAGCTCTCTTTGTTGTTCAGCAGGAGTCAATGACTTCTTCTTCTGATCATATCTGTTTGAAACTTGATCAACTGTTGGTGGACTCTTCGTTGATATGAGCATTTCCAATAGCAAGGTGATTTACTGTAATCAGTCCAATTGAAATTCAGTTGGGAAAAATCTTCAGAGAAATAAAAATATAAAATTTAAAATTTTACCGAAGGTCAAGGCTGTCTCTCTACAGAAAACTAGAACTACCGTTTTCGGGATAGGTTGGTAATTTAGGCTAACTAATCGATAAATAACAACAACAACGGCAAGTGTTGAGGGCTAGGACACCTCGAGGACTAGTAACTAGTAGGTATAATGACGATAGTTTCTGTGTAAGCAGTTTATCCTCCCATCAGTCTCATTGACAGCCTGAACCGACATGTGAACAACTTCTTATAATATCTCAGATTTGAAGATATCGGCCATTATTACATCCAGTATCGATTGAAGCGGTCAGTTTATGTGGGAATATCAACTAGTATCCGTTTCATTCACAATGACAGGTGCTCGATAAAGACCCCATGTTTGCTGGGGTTACACTGTAATGTTGTGTCTTTCCCTTTGATGTGCCGCTGAGCTCGTAAACAACCGTGATCGTAAGACATTTCTGAAGCTCGTCTATCGAGGGAAGACAAATAATGGTGACCATAAATGGCGTAAGAACGAATTGACAAATGGCTGATCACCAAAATACCATCCAAGCTTAGTCCTAATGTGTTGACAAAGGGAAGGGTGCTCGAGGACATACGCCACATGTGTCCACAGTATTCACCCAGCCCACCCTTATCTGATGAAAATCAAAGCATAGAGCAGAAATTGAAAATGGAAACTTACGGGTACGGGTACCCTGCCCTTACAGTAACCATGAGTGGATTAAGTTGTGGTTCGAACACCTGGTTGTTATGCAACACGGCCAGGTGACTACTCTATACTCCCACCCCTTATCCTGCTCAAGGTCTTTTTCTGGTAGTCTTATGTAAGATGGAGTCAGGGTGAGTACTCAGGTAACGTTGAGCCACGGAATGGAATACGAAGTCTGTGCAGTTCTGCATCCTATGCATTTTGTCCCACCACAAGGTCATTGTAAGAAACAGGTTCCTGTAGTGAATTTTCGTTCCTGTAGGCTGAGAGAGCAACATCATGGCTTGAAATGGCTCGCTACAGTGGCCTGAGAAGGCCTTTGACCTTTAGCTGGAATGTTCTTTTGTGAAGATAGGGGTTTAAAGCAGAGAAAAAGGGTATCCAGAGCACGGTGATTCCAATCAGGTCGAGGTCTCAAGGATAGTGATGTCCGAGGGGCAGTTTCTCGAGAGTATGTAAGATCTTATTAACAAAGACAACCTAGTAGCACCTACCAGTTAATGCAGTTTTACACGGTACCTTGACTAAAACGTTAAGCGAGTAAAATGAACCCTATAACACTATCACTAATTGTCAACCAAGATTTTTCTCGATACTGTTTTTCCAGCTCATGCCTACGGTAGCAAGTTATGAAAAGATGTTTGTGTGTAGTTTACCCGGTTCTTGAACTCAAACTTCAAATTCTGCACTTTTGCGTACCCATGTAGCACTACTATCGAAAAATCTACTTGTACATAAGTAGTTATGAAGAAATGGAAGCTTCTGGAAGGTGTTGGTTCTCGTAGTAAAGCCTGCAGTAAAGCGGTCTCACATCAATCGAATATGAAAAATGAGTATTGCGATTGTCACGTATTGTCACGCCACCTGCCTTCCTATAAGTTGTCTTCCCATAGCGAAATTTGGCCACGCCCTCATGACAGGGTCATGACCTTTGAACTATTATTTCTCAATAGTTTTTTTGTTTTCCAGTTCAGTTGGCATTCATTATAATCCTAGGTTACAGGAGAACGGCTAATGATGGCTGAATGGAATCCTTAGTAGAGCTTTGCTACGGAAGCTACTTATCGACAGGGGAATCATCGCCTTGCTAATGTCCCATAGCCGAATGAAATGGGATTGGACGGGTGCTTTCTTTCTTTCGAGTCGTTGCGTGCTTGCTTCTCTGTTCTCAGTTTGCCCGATCACGTCTCTAATCGAATCAAACTATCGGGCAGGCTCCCTCTCCCTCCCCTCCCTTCTTAGAAGGTGTACAAATAACGATATAAACAAGTAAGCAAATTGTGTTAGTTGCGTCAAAAAATGTTAAAAAGTAGGGTAAGCAACGTTGGACCAAATTTGCCAGATTGCGCCATGCTTTTAGGCTTCACTGAAAAATTGAGACACCATTGTGTACATGATTGCCCTATTATTCGCCTATAGGTGCTAAGAAACATGTAGGTGAACACCAGTATTTCTGTAGATGATACTGATATCAGGTATCCAAACCTTGTATTGGAGAGCTACTAGGGCAAAGTTGGTGTAGTGGTAGTTGGCGCACTATCACACACGCATGGTCACGGGTTCAAACCCTGGTCGACATCCGCCCAGACAAACCACTTTTTTCTTCTTCAGGGGGCTGTTAATTGGTACCAGACTAATCTGGGAGGATAAAAGCACCGAATTTTACATCGGCTTGACACCGCAAGTCATAGTATAGGCCACATACGCATTCAAAACGCCACTACGATTCTGAATGGAAGTCGAATACGAGGGTGCATTTCTCAGACGGGCCTGATCAACGCCTGAGGGCTTTATCCTTTATCCTTCATCGGAGTGCTGGGAGGGGTATATAGTTGGGTCACGTTGGGTCAACTGTTCGAGTATGAGTCATGATTTCACCTTTTGCTTAAAACCTAAGAAGTCCATGTAAGCATGACTAGCCTATCAACCCCACTTCTCCAAAACACATCCCCAAAAGTAAAGGTTTGTATTGCTACGAATGGAACCAGGTAACTTGATCAAGGAATAGAGCGCTAGGGCTAGGTTCACCTTGATGAGCTTTGCATATCTTTCCATAAATTTTCTCAATTTAATTTCCTAATAGTAATCTCATTTAGGAACTTGCAAGAGTAGGATAATTGGATCAAATGTCTAGCAACGGCTAACGAGAGAAGGCTAGTTAGAGCGTCAAAGTGTCTCGATTGTTTGCGAAAATCGTGATTCATCTCGTGGCCTTCGGTAAATTTTCCGGAACCCTTGCGAAGATTCAACAGTTCCTGGAAACTGGGGAACTAGGGAAGTATCTCAAGCCAAGGGATGGCTGAAGTGCTTGTCACTCATTAATCTACCCAGTTAAAGTCATGTTTTCAATTCCGTCAATCCATCTAAAGAAGGTACCTTTGTTCACTTTGAAAGGCCCTTCACCACAGCCTCCGGACAGCTCTCAAAAGAGCTTTTTGGCCTGAAAGGCATTTCAAGGGGAAGTTAGATCGAAAGTTCAGAGTCAGAGAGTAAAGGTCAGAGGCAAAGTCTCGTCTTGTTCAGACAGAGTGATAGCAACGCATCTCTTACAACTAGACATCCGAACTGCGCTCCCTGTCTCTATAAAGGAATGGCTTACCAAAGCCACGCCCCAAGAGGGCGGAGCTTCAGGACGGAGTCTTCTTGATAATGTTATTCTTTAAGCGAACTCCTACTCAAGCAAAGAAGGAAAGAGGTGAACTTGGTATAATTAGAATAATGAAGGAGAAGCATAAAGAGTTTGCTGGTAACTAATCCTGTTACTAGGAAACGCCTTCGCATTCCACTTCCATTCTAAATCGTAGAGGCGGTTTGAAGTTGTGGCCTACACAATGTTTGTGGCAGTTAGCCGATTTACCAGCCACTGTTTTTATCCTCCCAAACAAATCCGGTACCAACTAAACGACCCCAGCGGGATAGAAGGGTGACTTGGGCGAGTATCGATCCAGGAATCGAACATGAGCCATGCACGTGTACTGGTGCCCCGCTTTCCAGTATACCGTTTCCAACCTTTCAGCTAATTCATGGAAATCTAATTTCCCATGGCTGAAAATTTAAAATAAAATAATTTCACCACAGTTGTAGGAAATAAGTAGGAGATACATTTCAATGGACTAGCCAGAGCCATTATATCAATCTGCCTGCTGTCAACTCATTTCCTCCCACTTCCTTTATTCTTCAGAATGGTCAATAGTTTCCGTTATTATTAGTGTGCTTGTTTCGCAACTTTCGGTCGAGGTCATAAATTACAGTAATCTACGCCCTTTAATGATGAACTATTGTAGGAATCACATATTTGCACATGTCAGCGCAAGTTCGCTCACGTCCACATGTTAAAGGATTACGACCAATTACATGTCGAATCACGATGAAAGCCTGTCTGCGAGCGGCAACAATGAAACATACGGATATATCGATTTCTCGCAGGCTGTGCCTGTGTCAATCAATAAAGTGCTTGTCACTTGTGTTTTTCATCAACTATAAACGCAATGTCAGATTTTCTCAGAGATTGATAATTTGTTTGATTACGACTGAACCACCGTAAACAACAAATATTAAGGGTTTAGAAAAGTTCTTTGAGCTCACAGATGTGTGACTGCAGTACAATAAACCTTTGAAAGACTAAATTGCAGCCCTAATTATTTCATGTGTAGAATGCGCCATCCTTCAAAATCAGATAGGGAATTAGCGTCATTTGGACGATTCTACGGGCAACATTGCTGTCTCTTCAGATCGGACCATGGTAATAAACATTATTTGGATACTGAGGTAGAATTTGCGAGGAATCTGCGAAGATCCAGATCAAAGAACGGTCCAGGACATTAGTGGTATAAAAAAAGAGATGATGGTGCAGTTGGAAATGGTGATACTGCCAATCGCATGGCTAGAGGATGAAATCTCCGATCAAACTCAGAATCCAGCTATAACCTCATTAGGGACCATTGGGATTTCTATTCTTTTAGTTATTTGGTACAGAAGTCGAATGAGAAGAGAACACTAGCTTATTCATTCACAGGCTGGCTCACGCAAGTCATTTCAAAGGCCAACTGCCTATTCAAAGGTCACTGCGATTCTTTCGGAAGTAGAATGCGCAGCTCATCTCAGGTAGGAGATGGGTCGGTGATCAACCTTTGTGATCTGAATCACGTCTTACTAGTGCCAGCCAAGGGTCATTTTGGGGTTTCTATCCCTTTAATAGATCTAACATTAGC